GGGATAGAACCCACGTCTCCTGAATTGGCAGGTGGATTCTTTACCAACTGAGCCACCAAGGCCCTGATGCTGGGAAAGATTGAAGGCAAAAGAAGAAGCCAGCAGAGAACGAGATGGTTAGAGAGCATCACCAACTCCAAGGACATGAGTTTGAGCAAACTCCAAGAGATAGTGGAGGACAGAGGAGCCTGGTGTGCTGCAGTTCATGGGGCTGCAAACAGTCCAACTGAACAACAGTTAGGGACTGAACAACACCACCTTCTCTTTGATGTCATTTTCCTGCTAAGGAAGGTCATGACATGCATTTAGAGTGAAAATGTATGGATGCCATCCCTCATCTCTCAAAATCTACTGTACCCCAGGTGTGTTACCCTGTGTCCAAACCTTTCCAGTGATGATTCTGAGTAGATGTGTTACCTACTTAGACACTGTTTACACTTATTCGTGGATTGTCTATATTGAAGGAAGTACCATGCCAGTTTGATTTGCTTTGAGGATATTGCTATTGGGATTGTCTTTCCCCAGCAATAGTGGTGAAAAACTCATTGGAAGAGAGAAATCTTTACAAGTCACTACTTTAATTTTTTAATAAAAACTTTGAGGTCATGGTACTGAGAGCACCACCAGATCAAGTATGACAGTCTTACCCAAAGAACTCATGTTCATCTGATGAATGCATGTAGCAGAGGCAATGATACACTCTCATAGCAATTGACTGTCATCCCCGCTTCCCATAAACTGTTATTCCTGGTGAAGGAACCAGTTCAGTCAACATCAAATGTGCCTACTACCCATGGACTACGTTATAGGAGGGGTTTTTGAATTTTTAAGTGTTCAGGGTGCTACAGTTTGGGGTGCTGGGGACAGAGAGGGATACAAGCAAGTCACAATTATCAACACACAACTGAAGTGTCATCTACATTCAGTTCCTCCAAGGTTAGCATAACCTAAGAGCAGAAAGCCAAATGCAAGCCTCAGGGGGGCAGTAGGAGGAAATTAAAATAGTAAAGTAAACTAGAAAGAGCAGTAAAAGGGAAGAAAAGCAGGATATTACAAGGTCAAAACAAAAACCAAGAATCTTCAGTGGCATCACATGTAGTAAGGACTTCAAAAGAGAAGCAGCAAAAAGTGATTTGACAGGGAGGAAGTTAGCAGAGAGGTTTCCGAGGTTAAGTGGTTTCTGACTGGACAGGGGGTTTCTATTATATAAACAGTGGAATGAGATATTTAGATCAACAACTTATTTAACAGAACATTAAGAAACCATTATAATTAGTTTGGCTCCCTTATTCATTTCATTAGCATTTGCAGTGTTCTTATAAGTGCCCAAGTCTACTAAGCTCCATAGGATAGGGATACCTAATAGAAAAGTCATAATTAAACCATAATGGTTTTTCTTTCACAAGAAATCTGAAGTTTTAGACCCATGACTTAAAAAGTCTCATTTCCCCAAAACTGTTTCAGTTTATGTATTCTTTCTGATATATTAGACTTTTGTTTTCCTTTTTGAATTAAAACAGTTTGGTTGCCCACATCACAGGCAAAGGTTTCAACCTTCAAGGGCAGCAAATTTTAAAAATAACAAATCTCAATGTATCTTAGGTATGCTGTGAAGAATAGTAGTTACAGCTTGTGTTAGACTTTTTCCTACAAATATAAACAAAAGCCCATACAGAACAGTCCAAAGAAATCAAAGTTTTCTCAACTTCACACATGCAAAAATGTGTACAATGCTTAGCTTCTAATAATTTAATCATTAGTTTGGCTGGCCAGCATCACTGTTAAAGTATCAACTTGGATTCTGACAGGAGGTTAAAAGCATAGTCTCAAAGAATCCTGTGTGAGCTGAGGAGAAACAGAAATGGCATTTATACCTTGTATTAGGGACTTATTTTCTATAAAAGTTTGATGCCTACAACATAAGCCCAACCCCTCACAGGAATAGGCCAAAGCTGCCAAGCTTTCCACACTTTGAGAAAAGTGTGCTTCTCAAAGCGGAGTTCAGAGCTGCCTTGCAGTGGGCAACCTGGTGTCTGGAAGTGAGACAACCCACAGGATACCTTTGGCACATTGCAAAGGTGGAGGTGGACTTTATAGTCCATGTACACATGCACACCTCAGCTAGAAGGGACTTTTGTTAACTGGCCATCCAAAATAAACCCATCCTAAAAACAAACACACCAACCCACCTTAAGGGCAAGGCAGGGTGTTTTTTCTACTTTCCACATGTGCTGGCTATTTTAATAATGAGGAAAAATGTCTATAAAATACTAAAGAAAACCTCAAAAGGTTCTCCTAGGCCACCCTAGTGAAAAATAGCTATTTGAAAATTGCTCTGATTATCCTTTAAAGAAGTTTGATTATCACTTAAATCCTTCTTTAGCGCCACTAATTTCAATAACTGATTCACTGCATTTGGAAAGCCACTACTTTTTTTTTCAATTGTTTTATCCCTATACCTTATGTCAAGTCACCCATCGAATGTTTTAATGGAGAATACCCTTTCTCTGCAGTAACTCCAAGTACTTTCAAATAGGTGCCGCCAAATTCATTATTAACTTCAGTAGTTTTTATCCACTTTCCTTGTACTGTGATTGACTCCCCCTTATCATTAAATTTGGGCTTCCCTTGTAGCTCAGTTGGTAAAGATCTGCCTGCAGTGCAGGAGACCCAGGTTCGATCCCTGGGTTGGGAAGATCCCCTGGAGAAGGAAATGGCAACCCACTCCAGTATCCTTGCCTAGAAAATCTCATGGACAGAGGAGCCTGGTGGGCTGCAGTCCATGGGGTTGCAAAGAGTTGGGCATGACTGAGCGACTAACACTTACTTACTTACTTACCATTAAATTCAAGAACTGTGAATGTGTGGCAGTCAGAGATGAGCTTGGTTCTTCTAATGGATAAAGAGGGTTTTCCTGGTGGCTCAGATGGTAAAGAATCTGCTTGCAATGCAAGCGACCTGAGTCCAATTCCTGGGTCAGGATGATCCACTGGGAAAAGCAATGGCAACCCATTCCAGTATTCTTGCCTGGGGAATTCCACGGACAGAGGAGCCTCGAGGGCTACAGTCAGGAGAATCAGAGTCGGACACTACTGAGCAACTAACACACACAGTGGATAAAGAAACTCAAAACCAAAGAAAGAATTCTCCCATTCCAACTCCAACTTTAATGATTAATTTCCTTATTACCCTGAAGGTACAGGTTTTCTCTCTCTCCCTATCCACCTTCTTAAACTATATAATAAAACTGTCTAATCTCTAGGAGAATGATAAGCATTATGCTTTTTCATAGCAAGGAATATGTTTATTTCACAGGGAATAGTTTTTGTAAACAGGGACTTTTAAAAAATGTGTCAAGACCTCAGGTTTACATTTCATATCCAGAACTATATTCACCAAGTAGAAATGTGGGGCTTAGCTTTCTCAGTGGAAAACCACCATCCCAGATTTTCCAAAAGTTAAACACAATGATTTTAGATGAAAACACTATTTATTGTGTAAAAGATTTATATTTATTAATCAAAGGCACAAAACTATTAAAAGTTAATATTGACAATTAAGTCATATCAACCTGACAAGGAAATGCCAGCTAAAGCTAATCAAGATCTGTTGCTTTAAATTCCCAAAGAGAATACAATAACTCAGGCACCAGTAAGTAATAGTTAGAACCTTTCAAACAATAAGGGAAACATATTAATATAAATACCTTAATTCAGAGGCAGAGAAATGTAAAGTGTTAAGGTGTTACAACCTGGGGTATCACAGAACATGTGTAGTGCCTTTTATAGTCTTGAGTGCCTTAGAGGTCAGAGACCATTACCACTAATTGGCAACTCTGATGATGGGTGTTATCCAGCTACTGGCTGGAATGACATTACACAGTGTGACTAACGAAAACATTTTAATTTCTTGAAGCAAAGTATACAATCACAGCAGATAACCCTGGCTGGGAAAAGGGCAAGTTTGGAAGGGTCAGTTTTCGATCTTACTACATGAACAGTAAACTTATTGTCTTTCAAAAGCCCCATACCAAGACAAAGTCAAGAGGAACAGTTTTGCTTCATTTCCAATTTATTAAGCTCTTCCAGTGTTTCAGAGTGATACGGGGATTTCAATGATGTAACATGAATGGGACAAAAGGTGGACTTCGAATGTATCAAACAATTGTCTTGATCGAATCAGACTATTGATGTAGTTTTTCAATCTACCTGTAACAAATGTAGGTCTTCCATCCAGATGATCTTATAATTCACAAGGTTGGGGGTAGGGATGTTAATATCCTAAATTAAAGGAAAAATAGTTAATTTCCTTGTAACCCAAACTTCAATACCTGTATTCATTTGCACACATTTTAATCTAGTCTGCTAATGAAGATCTCCATGTGTTCCCAGTGAGTGGCTCAAATCAAATATGAAGGGAACCCTAGGGATTACTTCAGCCAGCTATAGTTCTCACATTTTATCATTCAAATTCTGAAGTTATTGAAACACATGCTTCTCCAAAATCTAGTTAAGCTAGATGAGTTCCTGGCTCTAGTAATAGTCCACCAGAAGACTGCAGTAAATGAGAATTGGGTAAAAGACCAGGGGAAAATGCCGGTATTGATCAAGAGCCAGAGTGTACTTGCCAGGGACCCTTACAAGTAAGGTCACTACTAGGATTCTTCATTTCTCTTTATTAGGTCCAAATCTGTTAGAAAGGGGACCAATGAGGATCTTTAGGCTGACATGTAGGTAAACACAGAGAGGCCCATCTGTCCTTTTATGGCCATGATTTTTTTTGTGAGACTAATGCTTATGCATGGCTGTGCTGTGTCAAGTCACTTCAGTCGTGTCCTGCTGCTAACACAATACTGATAATGTTTGCACTGCTGGACATGACCTTCTTTGCAAACTCAGTCCCATCCATTGTATGTATAGGCTAGAGTAAACACTGACAGTGCTGAGGATCAAAATGAGCATACCTTAAAGCTGGAGAGTAATAGGCCCGTGTTATGTTGGTTACACTATCTCATACTGGTTATTTGTAATGGCACGAGAGAGGCAGTAGGCTAGAAAGATTCCAATCAGCTGGAAATAAAATATAAGCAAAACTAAACATACACATACACACAAAGCTTAAAGACCTCAAGATACAGGTATATGCTCCTTTCACTTCCAATTTGCTACTTATTTCCTTAAGTTTTTTCTATAATAAGCTTATATGTGATGCCTTAACTACAACTGCAATCTGGAATTTCACAACCATTCCTGACATAAATCACTCCGAAAAATCTTGAAGTCTGGGAAAACTTTTCTTATTCTTCTTCTCAGTTATCAGAGCAAAAAGGATATGGCTTAGAATAAGCATCCCATCAAGTAAAATCTCCATCTATGAAGCAGTACTGTGATAATGAAAATGCTGTCCAGCATGGTGGCCACTAGCCACATGTGGTTTTCAAGTACTTCAAATGGAAGCCTGAGGAACTAAAATTTTAATTTCATAGTTATAACTTTTGAAAGGTGGCTATTTTATTAGAGAGTGCAGATTCAGTGAGACCTAAGAGGGCAGGTCTCACAGAGCTCTGGAGTTGTGGAAAATAGCATGGGAAAACAAGATCCATGACAACCAAAAACTGGAATGGAAAGGGCAAAACTACTATGTTTCCACTGTGATGATCGACTGAGTTTTGTGAAAATGTGACTCTCTAAAAATGTCCTTGCTATACAGGGCCCAAAGGAGAAACTCAAAGACTTCAAAGTGGAAATCTTGTAGCCTACACCTACAAGAGTGATGAAACATTTCCTAACTACAAGGACTTACCTGGAAGCAAGCGACTCCAAAAGAAATTCCAGCAACAACTCCCATTTCTGACTCTATAATGGTCATTACCATTATAAAACAACCCTAATGGAAGAGAATTTAAAAAAAAAAGTCAGTACAGCCCAAGCAATAATACTTTGATCACACATCTCTGCAAAAGATGATCTTTGTTCTTTTGTTAAAATTTATTCCCTCATAACAAATCACATCTCCTTTGAGGGACATGAGATTCACTTTTTGGGTTATGCGTTTAAGTGTCACTTAATCACAAGTCGCAAATTTTCTGAGCTTCAGTTTTCTGCGCTATTGCAGATTATGTGTATTGTGAATGAAAATTAAATTATTTTTTTACTCCTTACTTCATTGTTTACTTTATCTGCATCTCTCTGAGGAGAACAATCTTCAAGTTTACAGCAGCTTTCGGGAAATCCTTTTTCTGAGTAATAATTAGTATCCTTCCAATCTCTATAGTTGGTGACACCACAACAATGCAACTGAAAAAAATCCAACAAAAGCATTTAGAGTTCATATTACAACTATGTAGTTGTAATTACAACTGCACCAGCATCACAACTACACCAGCATAAAAACAATTACACCAGCATCTAAGATTATACTCAGTGATCTCTATCCTATGACACTGGCATTAAAATTCATGAGATAAACATTTTGGAACTGGTCTGACTTTCACTGCTATAGTGCAAGTGGACAACATCTGATAGGCAGGGCCCTATCATCTTCTCTGAGGGAATAGGGAATGTGTTTCCTTCTTGAGAAACCACCAGCTATGACCACTTACCATGCTTTGGATCTTGTCAACTGCATCACTTCTATAATCTCCCGTAGCGTTATATTGCTTTAAAGCTTTTTCATAATTATTCTTAAAGCTGTTCTTAATCTACAGCAAAGAAACACAAGGCTGGTAAACAAAGATTCTAGAATGTTCTTCTGATCTCCAGGTCAAATAAGAAATTGCAGCAACATATAATTAAAATCTATGGTCCAATTCTATCTTCTAAGCAATATGGTTTTGCTAATGGGACTCCTAAGCAAAACATTCCAGTAAAAGATAACTATGAGAAGTTAAAAGTACAATGGAAACCTATATTTATTCAAGTGGCAACTTTGTACTGCTGTATCTCCCACCCTCACTACCACTTTGTTAAACACTCTCCTTGATGAGGCCTCAGTACTCACTGAATGATTTCCTAACTCCAGATTTAACAGATTGGAATTCCAATTTCTAATTTGATTTTAAGGTTTTGATGAGTGGAGAAGGTATCAATTTTGTGTTACCAGTTTTGTGCTTTTGAACTAGTGAAACCTGTCTTTTAACTCTATTACTTAAATTTATCCAGTTTTATCTCTTAGAGCATAAATTTTCACATATTCAGGTTCCCAAAGGCAGGCTTACCTCATGTCTGAAAACAAATCCTACGATAGCAGCGACCAGTTCAACCAAAAAAATGAGAGTCAGAAACATTGCATACTGTGGGATAAAAAGAAAGTCCAAGTCAGCATAAATAAATACATCACAACTGCAAAGGGAGTCAATGTTCAGCACATTGTTACTGAAAAGGGCAGGGAAAACACAACAGAAGTGGCAATTGACAGCTATACTGTTACTTGGTAAGTTTTCATAAGGAAGAGGAAAAATCAGAAAGGGGCCATGCCTAGTTCCAAGAAACAAAGCCTACAACATATAAGCCTTTTCAAAAACCAACAACCAATTTTAAGAAAACAAGGACTCACTCACCAGTTTCAGCATCCATGCAGAAGCTCGGCAGGTAGCAAAACAGCCAAAGGTGCCCAAAAGAATAATGACAGTCCCAGTGCCAATGAGCACAAAGGGGACATTGGTGGCCTTCTCATTTAAAAGGGAAAAATAATTCTCTAGGCTCACCTTGCCCCAAATGCCAACGGCAAGAAGGATAACACCAGTGATCTACATGGGAAATCAGAGAATAGAGAGTTACACATTGTATACAGTAGCATCTTCAAACCACAAACCACTAGATTTTTAAGAAACAATAGGTGTGAGAATTGACCTAGCACTCTGTGGCCACAGAACTGTGGCTGGGATATGGCAGACAAGGGGGCACTGTACAGGGGGTTAGGAAGGGGAGTTGCACACAAGAACAGGTCTTGATAAACCCACACGCTGGATCACTGTAGCCAGGAAAAAACCAGGGGGCAGCTAGGCATCTTGACAAAATTCTTAAACTTGATCTGTTTTTTTTTGCCCTAGGGTTCAAAACTTCCTTAACCCATTTACTCCCGCCTTAGGAAGAAAACCTTAACAGATGTGCAGAGCGTACAAAGGAATGGTACACAAAGCAAGCCTAAGGATAGACTGGCGGGAGTGGAGCCATTATCATACTTACCTGCGAAATACTCCCCTCTCATGAAGCAGTGAAAAGAAAGAGACTATTATGCAAGAGAGCCCTCACCAGGCCCGAGCAAGCCTTGCTTCTCAGGGGACACGCTCTGCTTGCTTTGGGGGGCGGGGGTCACTCCATTCCAGGCGCCCCACATCGAATTCGAACGCTAGGCACGTCTGGTCCTGGTTCAGCCTCTCGGCTGCCGTCGCCCGAGACCCCGACCCGAGCGGGCAAAATGCCCGAACTCGAGGTGGAGTCCCAGCGCCGAGGTCCCAGCAGCGACCGCCGCCCCAACCCCACTCGCGCCTCCCTCCCCACCTCGGATCCGAGCTCCCTCGGCTCAGGGTCACACACCCCCTCCCCGACTCCAGCCCGGGATCCCCTCCCGTCCCCGGAGTCTCCGTCTCTCACCCAGAAGATGAATGTGTAGATCAACAGGACACTCTTGAAACAAGTGATGACCGGTTTGGTCTGCAGCCTCCGAGAAGGGGACGCCATGACTAGCCCGACACCCAGCCCCGCTGCGCCAGGCGATCGGAACAGAGCTAGCGAGGCGCGGAGCCCCCGAGTCTTCCCGGAAACTGCCGAAAAGTTACGAGCGCCCGCAACTGAGAAGAGCCGGAAACACTGTACAGTTTTCTAGAGGGTAAAGTCTGGGGGGATGTCCGGAAAGTGACGACAATTTCCGAGCGCCCTCTGCCGAAGGTTGCCGAAAACGCTACAGAAAAGGTTCTAGCGTCGGAAATTTCTTAGATCTCCAGAGTGGAAGTTGCTTCATTTTTTCGCTTATGGAATCTTTCCCGTCCCCCACCCATCTCCTTGCCCTTGTAACTGCATCATATTGTTTCTAAAACCAGCTTCGCCGGCAACGCTCTGAGATACGGCCTCGCCGGCCCCTAATGCCCTAAAAGGGGGAAAAAAAAAAAGGATGGAAAGAGGTTAAAAGTAACCTGAGTATCTTATTATGCTTATTACGTAGCAAAATACTCTCAAGACACGGACATGTATTTCCAAAGAGAAACAAAAGCAGTTCGCAGAGCGATCCATCCAGTCATATGTTTTTAGACAAAAACCAAAAAAAAGTGCAATTTACCTGAGTGGTGGAATTACACTGATTTGTTTTTTGTTTTTTGTTTTTTTGTCCCTTATTTTGTGTTTCTCGATTTTTGAACACTGTTTTAGGAGGTGGGGAAGGGGCACAGGACTAATAAATAACCACTTATTGTAAGAATTCCAAAGGTAGATAGGAAAGGTAATGAATTTTAGATTTTCTCTACAAGAATTTGCCAAAAATTCTTGCCTTTATCCCTCTCCCTCCTTATCATCGAAATTACTGGAGATTGAGGAAAAGAACTTTAAAGTAATTAATCCTGAAATGTGACTTCATCTATTAGCTACAAATGTTCAAAAGGGAAGGCGCTACAGAGAATACCCAGTAAATGTGACTCTCTTTTAAATGTTAAAACTGAAAGGCACTGTATATTCCAGCCCTCTGGATTTTCAGATCAAGAATAGCTGATCATAAAGAGGCTGAAATCATGGGTCACACAACTAATAACAAAGAAAAAACTAGAGATAACTGTACTTTTCAATCCTCTCCTCTATTATATAAGCTGTATATGGTATTTGGTGCCTACTCATCCCAAAGAAATTCTACCAGTTGCTTAGATCTTCCTAGAACTTGAGACCATGTGTTCCTAAGGACTTAAACTGCTTCCAGGATGGGAATGAATCACCAGAAAGTTTCCTGTCCCTTATGTCCACAGGCAGACCTGAGTCAAACTCTAGGGTAAAGTGGAATTTTAAAACACACACATGCACACGCACACGCACAACAGCCCTCTTCACAATCTCCTAAATACTAGAGACCTCAGGATAGGTAGGGATTCTTTTTTTCATCTATTAAGGTCCAGTTTCCTAACAAAAGTATAAGCTCTTTGAGGGAAGAGACTGTCAAGTGTGTGTGTGTTGGTTGTATTGACGCGGCAATAAGCCCTGCATTGGTGAAGAAGAGGTGCAGGTGACTGCCTAAACTTTTTTGCTCTAAATCTTGCTTTAAACACATACCACAGAACCAGAAAACAGGAAAGTTCCATTAACTTGATCACACAGAGCTTCCTTGTGCTTCAATATTGACCTAGGACCAGCTCCTATAGCATCATGCCAGATGTCTGAGGTCCAAGAGAGCAACTGTTGGATAATTATTTCACTGCCATGCTTTATACTAAAGCATGAAAAGCTTAACACATAAATACATGGAGAGAATGGGTAAATGATACATCTATACACTTTGTAAACACTAAGGTCATCAGGAAATAAGGCAGACATCAATTTTTAAAACACACATATGCCACAGCCACAGGAAATGAGGTGGAGGGGGCTCTCAGTATATGCAAAGCAGTCTCCCTAAACTAAACAGCACACATCTGAAGGGTTCTCATATTAAAACAAAAAAGTATCAAGAGAAGTCTTGCTAAATTCTTGTCATCTTAAATGAAGTTTCCTCTGAAGCTTAGGTTTGTACCATGTCCTGAAAGGGATTTTCACAGTGAGCCTGAGAGCAAATAAATATTTCTGTGGCCGAAGGAAAAACAAAATAGCAAAGCAAAAGCCGCATCTTATTTCCAAGAATGTGTTGATTTTCCTGCCCTCCCTTCCTCTGCTACTCACAACACTGCTTTGTTTGAATAACAGTCAATGCCAAATTAAACCAAAACCTGACATGGAATTTAATATTCCTATGGCCACAACACCTTGAACCGTGCCTCCCACCCTGCTAACCCCACTCCCACCATTGCTATGCCACCAAGTTCAGAAGTTCAGTTTAGTTCAAATTTAGGCCTGGGCCTGGGTGGAAACCCAGACAAAGAGGCATCTAATCCCATCTAGGCAATGTAAGAAGTAAGTCTCTAGGTTATAAGATAAATTTTTTCCTTAAAGTATTAATAATAAATGCTGTACTGAGCATTGACTATGTACCAACCACGGTTGCTAAGCAACCAACAAGTGTTACTTCATCCTTACATCACAAAAGTCCTTATTGTGAGGTCGTGACTACCACTGCTCATGTTTTACAGATGAGGAGACAGGTTCAAAGAGGCTAAGTAACTTGCCTAGTACTAAACCCTGGCAACTTCCATTTCTCTCATCAGAAACAGAGCCCACTCTGTGATGAGATATGGCTGCTATTGTACATTTAACCACAAACAAGGGCTGTTCGGAGCCCCTGAAGCACAAGAATCTCAATGGTTTCCCCAATTCTGCCTTGTACTTGCGGATTTTGTTGAATTTTACTTTTGCCTTCACTCAATTAGCCCAACCACCCAGGAGGTAATCTTGCCCATCCCAGAGTGGTAAAGGGAGTTCAATAGCTTTTTTGGTTCAACCTCTAATTTTCTCCCTCTTTTCTGATCACAAAAACACGTTTGATGTTGAACTGTAGGGGGGAAAAGGAAGATACTTTCCTTAAATATTGTTACTGCTTGCTTTACATTCAACATTTAGTATAGATTTGGTCCCTTCTCTATTAACTTCCTGTAATCTTTAAGATTAAAGTGTTTTTCTTTGACATTTAAATGATGCCTCCTCCAGCACATCAGCTTATTTCCTATAGCTTTTCCAAAGTGAATTTTCTGTTCCATAATAAGCCAGTAAGATTATCTCTCCAATAAATAAGATCTGTTCCCTACTTCCCAATCTCTAAACTCAAAATTCCTGCCCCACAATTAAGGTTCAGCTCAAACCCAACCCAATGAGAACAACCTCCCCCAACTCTCCAGCCCGGCCAACACACATACCTCTTTCTTTAACATCAGTCCTTATACTCTGATCATTCACATTAACTCATACCCTTAGTTCATTACTACAGTACCTGCTTTCAGTATCTGCTTCTTCTCTACTTACTTGTCTTATGTCTGGTTGTCTACATGTTCAGAAACTACTTGAAGAGCCAGTTTGGCTGGGCTCCTGCACCCACTTTTATACTCTCCAGGACCCTAGGACACAATGCTCAATTGATGAGGTTATTTGGTGCTCGGCCAATCCCTGTTCAGCCCATTGGTCATAGCTGGCCTCTGAGGCTAGCCACTTAATAGTCACTCAAAGTTTGATTAATTAAATGAAATTAAAAACTAAATGTCTAAGTCATCCCAGTATCACACTGACATAAAATGGAAAAAATAAGTTGAGCTGTTAGATAACGTCTTGGGACGTTACTTCACTCAGTAAGTGTCTGACTCTTTGTGACTCCATGGACTATACAGTCCATGGAATTCTCTAGGCCAGAATACTGGAGTGGGTAGCTTTTCCCTTTTCCAGGGGATCTTCCCAACCCGGGATCAAACCCAGGTCTCCTGCATTGTGGGTGGATTCTTTACCAGCTGAGCCACAAGGGAAGCCTGCTGCTTGTCTTAGGAACCAATAAAGAGACACCCAATATTTCGCACAGAATACATCTTACTCTTATTCACATAATTATCTTATTTTCATTTTCTAATACCTTTTCTAGATCCCTCCAATTACCTTTGACTAAGCACCTATTGTAAAATTTAAAATCACCTTCTACTTACTAAAGTCTCATATTTTACACTATAGTCATCAGATAAACATTATTTAAACAGAAAATTTAAACATCATCATTTCAACAGATAATTTATAGGTATAGTTTTAAAAACTAGCTTCCTAAATAGGAATGTCTTTTTTATTCTTCTTGTCTTTTGTGTATTCCCATTATTCCTTCTCTGAAATTTTCTTTTTCATTCACCCTTTTCCCATATACTCCTTTCAAATTCTCTATGGATCCTTTCTTCCTTTTCCAGCACTTATCTTGCCTTTTTCAAAAAGACTCATAATATACAATTTGGGACACATGGAAATGAGAAATACTCCTAAATGGTATTAAAATTTACATTTACATGTCAATTTGTGTTAGTCCACTTTCTGCGAGAATGATTTCAAATGTAGACTTGTTGAGCTTTGCTGAGATTTCAACTAGTCAGTTTCCATACCTAATATTTCTTAAAACAATATCTTTTGACTCTGATGTGCTTCTTATTAAAAGTTTTGATACTGAACTTTAAGAATTTTAAAAAAATTATATTTGTATGTATGAATGTTGCCAGTCTCTCTGTCTTTGTCTTGTCTTCCCAACTAAATCATAGGAAAAAGTGCTTTATTTAACTTTATATCCCCACAGTGTCTAATATAGTGTTACCCACACATAGTAGTGCTGAAGAAATGTTGGTTTTTTAAATTAACCCCACCTGTTTGTTGTAAGGTCTTCATATTACCCATCCCAGTGCTTCATAGGAATGCTGCCCCTCTTGTCTCACTTATCCCCTTACTTTGATCTCCCTATAAATGAAGATTTCCATAAGCTTCTTCTTCATTTTCTTCTTTAATCTCTCACTGCCACCCCTCTGCCCTGCTCCTTCCAGCCCTGAGTGGGACACAAGGCCTATGCAGCATCTTCTTCTTAGCATGTTCTGGGCTCTGTGTTTGGTGCTGGGGGAATGAAGAAGACTAAGCCATGGTCCCACTCACAGTCTAGTAGGGGATAGAGATGCGTCTGAGTTGAACAGACTAGTTAGAGTAGGGAACAGAGATTATCATAGATCAATAGTGGCAGTAAGTGTGATAAATCCTATAATTGAGACATGAGACATGTACAAAGTGATATGATAGAAAAGGAAGGTGAAGTTAACCAGCTCTGGCTGGGATGGGCTGAGGGAAGCTTCTCATCAGTAAAGATGGATACAGTCTCAACAGGCCAGGAAAGAAGGGAAAGGGTTACAGAGTGGAGTAAACCTATCTGTCCCAAGCCACCACAGTGTGAAAGGAAGAGCAAGTTTAGTGTGTCCAGAATGAGGAGTCATGGAGTGAATGCTTAAACCAGGCTGAGGACATAGGAAGATTTGCTTGTGTGGGATACAGTGTGTCCTGCTAAGAGCTGGGACTATATTCTTTGCCACAAGGGAGTCAGTGAAGGGATTTTTAGAAAGAAAACAACCCTGGTAGAATTTATTCCTCTGCTCAATCACTCGCTCTCTCTCCTCTCTCTCAATCACTCTCTCTTGCTCTTTCTCTCACATTGTCACACACACATTTATTTAATAGATTCACTATTTTCTAACACATAAGTTTAATATAAATGCCTATATGTGATTTCAAGGGCCCTACAGCATTTATTCAACTTTAATTCCTACCACTTCTCTGAACCTTCATACCAGTTAGCCCATCCCCCGCTCTGAGCTAACAATGAGCTCTTTTTATGTCATTTCCCTTGCCTGAGAGCAGACCACGGCCCATGTCCTCCCACAGAGTCCTCACAGTGTATTCCATAGCTTTTGGAAATGTATAGGGTCTTGTATAATTTTGTAACTGTGTCTTCCTTCTCTCCTCTAATAAACACAAACCCTGTGGGAGCTGCAGAGTAAGCTTCATAAGATCAAGAATCACACAATTTTTACTCGTCACTGTCCTTTGGTTCTTAGCTTACAGTGGAAGTCCAATGAAGATTGGTCAGCTCAATACACAAAATTGTAATAAACGTTTTTGTTAAATGTCTGTTTCCTCCAATCCATAAGGGCAAGTGTGTCTCTCGAGCACTTCGAACAGTGTGTGGTACATAATAGATGCTCAACAAGTATTTGTTGAATTAATTATGGATTAGGATGTCAGGGATTTTGTCCTCCATCCTTAACACAGTAAATGCTTGATAAATGTATTGCATGAATGAGGCCAAGACCATGTCTTTAGCTACTTTATACAATGATCACACTGTAAACACTCAGTACGTAGTCATGATCAGTGGATGAAAAATGAAACAGGCTTGCTGCTGAACTTTGTATTATTGTAAGTACAATTCTTCCCTTCATAACTGAGAAGGGGTTACCAACTTGCTTACATACACAAGGAATAAATTATTTCTACAGCATCTAAAACAATTTCTTCCAGGATTACTGCATTTTTGAAGTTGAAAATGCAACTCTAAGGGGAGGGAAAGTATCAGAAGCAGATATGTCCCATGGTAGAACAGTCTCATTATCAGACACTAAAATGAACAAAGCTTATTTGGTGAGGAGAAACACAGCCCTCCATCAGAGATCTGTGAGAAACAGCTTAGCAATGCACAGAGAGATCATTTCAGTTCACTTAAACAACCTCCCACTAAAGCATCTGTAAGTATGCTTTCTCTCTGCTCTTATTACAGGAAATCAGTTTGATCCTGAAGGCTGGAAGCACATGGTATATTTTGTCAACAACATAATCTTATAAGAAACTGAAGTCCATTGGAATTAGGTCATCAGAGAGAATTTCAAAGTGGGTCTGACCCTGTGCATATGGATGGCAGGGCAACTCGGGGATGGTGAGTACTAAGGAATTACAGGGGAAATCTCCAGGGAATTTCAAAATCGGCTCCACTCCTCCCCTCTCGTAAGAGTTTGTGGAATTCCTTTTCATTCAGTCCTGATGTCATTAAAAAAAAAAAAAAGCGCTCTTCACTGCGCCACATCTCTGGAGGCCCTTTAGCCAGCCTGTTAGTCATTACTATACTCATGGGCTTGAGGCCAGCGCCACTCACACTCTCCTCTGCTCAGCAGCAGACGGGCTGAGCTCCTCTTATCCTTACATTCCTTCTCCTCCACCTCTCTCAAATCTTTTTCTGAGGGAGGAACAGCTATAGCTTTGGGGATAATATAGCTTTAAGGAAACTTTTGGCAGATGCCAATGTCCTAACATCTGGGCAGTGTTAACAGAATCCTGGAGGCCCGGACAGACCAGGAGCCACTCATTCTAGGAATGTTAAAAAGTAGTTTTTCCGACTGATGAGAGGAGCAGAGAAGAAGGAGAAAGAGAAGAAGAGAGAGTACAAAAACCCCGTACATCAGGTAAGATCTGCTGCTTCACCCCTCCACTCCATACCACACTACCCCATCTCTCAACCCGAGGAAGTAACGAGACCCAGGACTTAGGCAACATGGCTCAGGGATGGAGTTGGGGGGAAGAAGTTCTTTTATGAAACTGGACCGTACGCTGCTTTCCATTTGAGCTGTGACCTGGCTGAAGACACAGATTCCCACTGCTTTCCCTGCCCACAGCAGAGGGATGGCCAACCCCAGTGATTGAGTCAAGTTTTCGGTTTGAGATTGGCAAGAAAGGTGGGTAGGGAAGGGTTCACAGACTCAGAGCACTGGGTCTGCAAAGGAAAGCCCCTGCTCCCAAACCAAGGAACTGGATGGAGGCTGCATGTGGGAGAGGGGGTTGATAATTAGTGCATCTCTCTTTAGTCTCCTCTCTCTTGTCCTTTCATTTCCTCTTTCTGCTTTCGTCTCTTGTCTTCAGCTCTGGCAGGTTATCTTTTCTTGCTGAAATTCCTTCCCACATCTTTCCACTTTCCTTGCCGCCCCTGCTTGCTCTCACTTGTTCTGTATTCTGCTTCCTTGCCACTCTCTAGACAGAATCTGAAGCTAGGTAGCAATGAATTGGAAAATGAATTTCTGCCATTCTTGGACTTCTCATATCCCTTAGGGATGCTGGTCAGAATCTGCCATCTTTTTGTTCCTCCATTTCTGGGACTGACCCCTCCCCTGAGCATGGAGTTTCATTGAAAGCCTGTGGGTGAATGGGTACTTGCTGAGAAGTCCAGCGGCCAGTTTACAGCAATGGGCAGCAAGTTTTAATACTGTCATTTAGGAAGTATTTGCCTACTGGGAACCACAAAACTCTCATCCCATTAGAGTCCCATTAGAGAGTCCCTCACTGATTAGGGTGAGGACAGGATGAGAAGTGAGAGGGCAGTGGGAGCTTGCTTACCCTCTCCTCACGTACCTCAGTATGTTCTTTCCAACCTCACTGACTTCCTGCTGGCTCAGTAGGATAAAACTAGAAGGTTAGGCTGGACTTGAAAGCCATAAGCCCCTACCAAACCGCTAAGCCTCGAAATCCAAAGCTAAGAACTGAGCCAGGGTATAGTCACTGCCTGAGAGGCTGGAGAAAGGAGACATCCAGTCCTGTTCAAGATGGAGTTGGTAATAATAGTATCTAATATATATGGATTGCTTCCCTATGTGTCAGGCAATAATCCATTCTATAATGTAGATTCTATTATTATGCCCATTTTATAGATAAGGAAACTGAGGCTAAGAAAAGGTAAGGAATTTGTCCAAAGCCCCACAACTAGTAGGGACAGAATTGGATACATATCCAGGTCTATGTAACTCCAGAGTTCAAGTTCTTAGTCTGTATATGCTAACACTTTCTCAGATTTGTGGTTAGGAAGCACTAGTTCAGTGGATGAAACCATCACCTGGGACCTTTAGATTGCAGGTTTCTCTCTTGGTTCTATATGACTTAATGTTGGCCCTTTCCTGGTCTTGATATCTCAATGTCCCTTTCTGTAACTTAGGCCATGGAACACTGGCATCAGATATCACCAGGATCAACTGAGAATTGGTTGTTTTCTGTCCTCTTCCTCCTAAGAGGAAAAGACCAGAATTCACAAATGGAGGCTTATTATCCTAAAAGTGGGAGATCCTTACAAAGGGGACAATATAACAGGCATTTGTTAATTTAAAAATCTCTCTTCTTCCTCGTAGATCCTGCATTTCTGCTTCCTCTCACTTTTGGAAGTTCATTGATATCTGATTTCTGAAAGTCATCCTCCTTTGCCTTGGTGCTTCTGGCCACATATCTCTATTCTTATCTCCCTAACCCCCCTTCCCATCCCTCCCCACCCTCTTTTCAAGGATGGCCATTCAACTAACTCGAAGAGGAGCTCTCTCTCTGCTGCTCTTCCTCACTCCAACAGTGATGCCAACATGGTATGCAGGTATGTCATAGGAACTGTAGCCCATTATTTCCAGGAAGGGCAGGGCTTAGACCAAGTCTTAGAGAAGGGAAGGGTTAGACTGAAATAGAGGGCACTTAGATACAGAGAAGAACTATCCTTAATAAAAAAGATGGTTAAATACTGAGGCAGGCTACGGAGGGAGGCTTTTGAGGCAAACTAATAAGAGATTTTGAAAACAGGCTGCACCAGCATAAAAATGAGTTTGGTCAATATATCCTTGTAGCTTATTTGCACAACACAGGGAATATATCAAATATTTTATAATCACTAAAAATAGAGTATAATCTTTAAAAATTGTGAACCACTATATTGTGCACTAATAATTTATGTAATACTATATACATGAACTATACTATACATGCTATACATGGGGCCGCAAAGAGTTGGACATGACTGAGTGAACAACAGCCACATATTTGAACTATACTTCATAAATATAAATAAATATTAAAAATGTGGCTGTTAACATGGCTTTTGAGGCCATTATCTTACCTGCTTCTCCATTTTCTCTCTTTCTCTCTCCCCTCCCAGATATTATTTATAGGATGAGATTTTTATAGCTCCTTTCTGATAAAGATTGCTAATGACAATTCAGACTACATTCTCTTGAACAGGAATCCCTGAGTTTCTCCTGGCTTGTTTCTTACTTTGGAAAGGATGGGGATTTCTAGATCCCTGAATGTTTCATCCTTTGCCTCTGGGGAGACATAGGGAGCTCAAGAGAACTCACTCAGCAAGGAGGGAAAGGAAGGGGAGGAATGAAGGAAGGATAATGAGGTGCCAGACAGGAGTTTTTGATGGGGCCCAGCTAGCATTCCAAGTGCTAATAATATTCTGTGGTCAGCACTGTCTGCCTTCATGGGGGCTGGGGGGAGCAGGGGAAGGAGACAGGCCCAACTAATGGAGTTAGAAAAACATCCAGAGATGAGTAAATAACAAACTGCTTCCATCACAGCTGCAGTCATTGTAGCTAAAATTTTCCACATGCCCTTAGCTCCTGCTGGAGGCCTCTGGCAGAAGCTCTGTTTGGAACAGCTGCATCAAGCTTTCAAACAAATATGCGAACTTCTTCCCCTGTTTGGCTTAACTTGGCTTTGTAGGGGGTGAAGCATAAGGGCTGACACTGAGATCAAGATGTTCAAATCAAGCCCTTGGCAGTGCACACACTGTTTGGGGTGAAAAGAGCCTAAGTTTCCAAAATATATGTGTAGCTATCCTCCCCAAACTCTCCCTAGCTTCAGTTCAAGTACATGAGACCAAAATCCAGCCAAAGACCATGAGTGTAGGTTAGATGAGTGAAGCCTGATTCTGAATCACTATAAGAAATCCCAGAGCACACCCCAGAGCACACCCCAGAGCACACAGAGGCTTCCCCAGGGTGGAAGCCTGAGCTTTTGAAGTCTTGAGGACAATGCAGTTTTTTAAGGCTTGGATTCATTTGAAAGTCTCAAAAGGCCATTTGCAAAGGTGGCCATTCCCCACTTCCTACAAGAGTCACCATGCTTATTACTCCTTCTTGGGAGTCCTGGCTAGTGAAGTCTCTGATAGTCCTGCCAACCTGTTCATTCTGTCCTGTTCTTTTCTTAGAATGCTATGTGATGAGAGATACTTGGGGATTTCCCAATAATCTTTCCCTACATCACTAGCTCAGCTGTCTGAGTTTGCTCTGTTTATGTATTCATTTCTTCACTCAGTAGATATTTAGTGACCACTCTATGCATTCAGGACTGTTTTGTTCATGGCTATAACTTTGTCCTCCAGTGGGAGTAGTACAAGGAAAGCAGCCATGTATGGATTCTGGGCTAATCAGAAATAGGATCCAGGAACAATCAGCAGGGTATAGGAGGGTTAAAAATAAAAATCAAGCCAGCAGTGGGTTAAAAGTGTGTATTGGCCTATCTGTACAGTTCAGGAAGTCAGACAGCATTTCTTTCATAATCCAAGCATTAGTGTGGATCTTAAAATAGTCACCAACTATCAGTTACATTTCCAACCACACCTTTGTGAAATGTAGTGCTTTAGAGGGTCTGTTCTGTGGATATTGGAGGAACCCAGTAACAGACCACATGGTAACCACCAATCAGCCTAAAGGGACCAAGCAATGCTGCCAAAGCTTCTCCCCATCAGGGCTGAAGAGGGACAGACAGAACAAAGTGGAGAGAGGGGCCCTCTAGTTTCATATATCACATCTCAGTATCTTAATATTTTCCAAAAATTATCCAAAGACAGGCAAAGATGAGAAATGGAAAGGCTTAAAGTGGTAAGGTGGCCCTAACTTATTCCTGTCACAAAGCAGACTTGGCACTGGGCCAGCCAGCTTTGTACCCTGGTGAAGACCGTAATTATCTGACTGAGTCTTCACCTCAGCTTTTCCATATCCCTTGTAAGTCTGGAAGGACAGGAAATGTTTGGTGGCCTTTGATCCCACACACACAGAGTTAAAAAAGCTGAATTGCAGTAAAGATTTTGGATTTTTATTTCTGTTGGATGTTGTCCAAAGCTTTCCCCTACAACCATCTTTAGTGGAGTGTCTGAGTTTGGCATCAAGAGGATCAAACCACACTGGGCTGGAATGCCCACTCTGCTCCTTACTAGCTGGGAAACCTTGAGCTAGTTCCTGAACTCATCTGAGCCTGTTACCTCATCTGTATTTGAAAGCAATAAGGGTGTCTACCTCACTGAGATGTCAAGGTGATCTAATGAGATGACACATGTAATGGGCTAAACCCAGAGTAGGTGCTGAGTGATGTTAAGAATCATTGTTGTTATTGTGGTGGTTGTTATCCAGCCATAGGTCTTGGACACTTCTGTCTGCTCTTTTGGTAAACAGAGGCTTGCTCCCATGCTGGGAATTTGTTCACAAGCAAGCTCTGGAACAACAGTATGGGGACCAAATCCTTTAGAAAATCACACACATCTGGCCTCCTGTTTATACGCATTGTAAGGCTTTGATGCTAAACTGAAACAGCTGACAAGAATTCTGTCCACCCCCCCCACCTCCCTCCACCACAAAGAAACCACCCACCCAGGTGGGAAAAGAAGGAACAAGGGAGAGGAGGCCTAAGGAGAAATAAAGGAAAGCCAGGAGAGACTGAAAAGGGAAACCAGAAAAAAATAAAGGGAAGGAGAAAATATGAACTCTTTCCTCTGGAATGAGGGCAAACCAATGAGGACATGATTTCATAAGACAAACTTTCAATTTGATTCATCCCCTTGTTCATCAAGTTGGACTGGTTTCCCAACACCCACCCCTTACCCCCAGTCTGGGCCCGTGGGGAATGGAGGAGCCTCATCATCTACTCTCTGCTCCACCCATTAGTGCAGGGGGCCCCGTGTCTCTGCCCAGAGAGGAGACAGGATGAGTTTGTGGTCAGAGTGTTTACACAGGCCAAAGGGCTCCAGCGCTAAAACCCAGCTTTGTCCCAGAAGCACACCCTCTCCTGGAAATGAAGAATTGTCTCTGACTCCAGCACGGCTGGCTGCTCTATTAATGTGTGTGCTTTAGGCACACAGTGAGGCTGGAAAGAGAGCTTCCGGAAGCTTCCCTCCAGAAAGGACCAAGTTGTATTCCAATTAGTTCATATGTATGACCCATTTCCTGCCGTCTGGTGGAACACACTGTTTAGTCTCCCAGACAGCCGCAGACTGGCCTCCACAGGGACTGGACCACTAAACAGGACGGGGGTGGACTCAGAATGTTCTCTAGTTCAGCACCTCCCTACTAAGGCTCCTGCTGATTAGAGTGACTGAATATTTCTGCAAACCAGGGCAAACTGCTCAGGCAGTGAAACTCCTATCCCCTTGCCTCTTGAGCCCTCCCTCTTTGCCCTGGCATGCCACCCCTAGCCCTGGCAACCAATTTAAACTGAAATTGTAAGATTTCCTATCACCATAAGGCTCTATGTGTTTTTTTTTAAAAAGCTTCCTGCATAGAATTATCCTTAATACACAGTTGATTAAAAAAAAAGAAGAAGAAGTGAAAGTTGCTCAGTTGTGTCCAACTCTTTGCAACCCCATGGACTGTATAGGAAAAGGCTGGTGCCCTGTGGGCTGGTGGGAGCTTGAAGAATTGTTTCCCTCTGATGACTGTAAGAAGGCCCATCATTAGTGGAAAGACCCTTGCTCAGGTTCTATTTTTTTCCCTCCTATCTGGGACAACAGTCCATCCTCAGAACTCAGTCATCAGTGTCTCACCAAGACTCCTGTGTTGCATCAGGGAAATGGGTCATTTCTAGTCCAAATGGGCAGGATGGGTGGATGGTCAAGAAGTTTGATTTTTTTTAATGGAGTCTTCTAGTGCTACCAGAGCCACCTGACCCCCTGGACTATAGCCCACCAGGCTCCTACATAAATGGGGTTCTCCAGACAAGAATACTGGAGTGGGTTGTCATTCCCTTCTCCAGTGGATCTTCCCAATCCAGGGATCAAACCTGGGTGCTCTGCACTGCAAGCAGATTCTTTACCACTTGAGCCACCAGGGAAGCCCAGTAAACTGCCTACCCCTCCCCCATCATGAGCTCACCCTCTATGTACCTGAGGTGTGGAGTTTGCCCACAGTAGTTGTGCTGCTTCACAGCATAGGATTTTTCCCACTAAATGGCCACCTCATTCTCCACCCATGGAGTGCCATGTCCTCAGAAAGGGACCAAGCTAGAAAGGGGAAAAGGTTGGAAAGGACTTGCATCAGAGACCAATAAGTCATCTTGATATTTTGTTCATTCTAGGCTCAGGCTACTACCCAGATGAAAGCTACAATGAAGTCTATGCTGAAGAGGTCCCACAGACTCCCATCCTAGACTACCAAGGTAATCCTCACTGCTTCCCAGGCTTAGGAAAGGCCTTTTCTGTCCTAATGCCGAGGCCCTGTCTGATGCATCCTCACCCAGCTTGGCCCATTTATATCAAAGCTGCAGTTCAGGGAATCAAAGGCTGTGGTTTCCAGCCATGAATCTTGTTACTGACTTGCTGTGTTATCCAACCTCTCTAGCATTACGTTTGCCCATCTGTCACTAAGTATGGACTGAGTACATACTGTATGCCTAATTCTGTGTAAGGAAAGCCTTGGGTGCTACAAAGGTAAAGTTTTGTCCCCCTCAAGAAGCTTATATTCTTGTAGGGGATATGAGTGAGGGGGCAATAAAATTATCAGGTGTAGGGCAAGGAAGCATGAAACTCTGTGCTATCAGTAAACAATACGAGTTAAGAAAAAGAAGTCAGGGGAGGGGTCATGAAAGATGATGTTTAGACTAGGCCTTGAATGATGGGTAGATTTCGAGGAGTAGAACAGGGACAGGAGGGCATTCAGCAAAGCAGATGGCCACAGGTAGAGAGAGAAGAACAAACGTGTAAGAGAAAGGCACTGGGAAGAATCCAGCCTGACTGGAGGAGATGGGATATGGAGGGAGTTGTAGGAAGTAAAGTTGAATATAAACAGTGAGACCAAATTAGGAAAGGCTCCACCATCTAATTGGTGGTAGTTTAGTCACTAAGTCATGTCAGACTCTTTTGTGACCTCCATGGACTGTAGCCCTCCAGGTTCCTCTTTCCACATAATTCTTCAGGCAAGAATACTGAAGTGTGTTGCCATTTCCTTCTTCAGGGGATCTTCCTGACCCAGGGATTGAACCCATATCTACTACATCAGCAGGCAGATTTTCTTTACCACTGAGCCACCTGGGAAACACGCCATGATCTAGGGACCCTTCTAAAGAGAGGCTGAATAGCGATTCCTGCTTTAGAAGGAAAGTTAGACCACATGATTTCTACTATCCTTTCCATTTCTAAGATTCTTAGTTTCTGTGCCTTGCAAGCCATGTTGAAGAGTTTGGCTGTTGTGGTAGGAGTTATAGAGAGTCATCATATGTTTTTGCATAGGGGAGTGGCATGGTAAATAGTAATTTCAGAATATCAACCTCATTATTGTGGGTGGAAAATAGGAGTCCAGGAGGGGTAGAGCCTGGGTCAGGGAGATTCTCCAGGAATCAGTAGCAGTGATGTTGGTTAGAGATGATTGATGCTAGTGGAAAAGAAATGAATAGCAGGGATGAACCCCAGAGATGTTTTAAAGAAAGAGATGACAAGACCTAATACAGATTTGATGTACCAAGAGGTTAAGAAACAAAGGACTCTCTGAAAGCATCCAGTCTGGCACCTGGGAGAACTGTAAGACCTCTCTCAGAGAGACAAGGTTAGAAAAGAAAAGTGGTTTGTATCCTACAGGCAGTGGGGAGAAGAAAGACGGAGCTTCGTGGGTCAGAGTCATTAACTTAGATGGATGAGTTATCTAAGGGAGCAGGGGGCCAATGTCAGAGCCTTAGAGGTCATCTGCAGATGTGAGCAGGAGAAGAGGAACCAACAAGGGAAAAAGAGATCATTAGTGGTCATCCATGTAGGAGGAGATTGGGGTAGCATCTAATATATTACAAAAGCCACAGGAGAAGAGAATTTCAAGGGAGGGGAAGCAATGAGAGATCTGTGTCAAATATTGGAAAGAAATAAATTGAGGGTATTACAAACAATGTATTTGGCAAGAAGAAGGTAAATGGTAACATTTGAGAAAACAATTTCAATAGAGAAATGATGAGAGGTTGGAGTTCCTCTCTGACCATTTCTAGCTACCTTCTTTCTACCTATCTTCTCACTCTGCCAAATGGTCTAGACCCACTGCCTCTCTGTCTCAGCACCTGCCAACCCCCAAACTCCCTACAGTCTCTTGCCTTCTCACTCACAGATCTCCATGCTGAGACAACAGCCCTTAAAGGTCAATCACAATCCTCTCCCAAAGCCCAAATCATATGGCCCCTTCTTGAGCTCAGCCTCCCCATCTCTCAGCAACAGTGAACACATCTATCTCTTCTCACCCTAACTCCATCCTTGGACTCCATGACATTTCACTGTTATGAACATGGATGAGGCCAAGAAAGGAGATGGGCTCTCTAGTGGTGACAGGAGGGAGAGTGAGGCATTGATCTGAACTTCAAGTGATCATGATCTGTCTCCTGAGCTCCCAGACTACACCTCTAATTGATGCTAGACACTTCCATTTGGAGATATGTAAAACTAAATTCTTTCATCTTCCCTGAAAAAGGGACATCTGGCCTTCACACCATCACCATCATTCTGTTCAAAATACCTTAATGTGACCTTTAACAGCCCCCATCACCTTTAATAGCTCCCCTTTCTTCATCACCTCTCATCAGTCATTCACCAAGAATTGTCATTTCTTTATTAATCCAAGTGATTAAAACTTTTATTACTTTACACATGGATAATGACAACTGCCTCCTAATTGGATTCTCTGACTCATGTTTCTCCCTTACCCAAACCTACTGACCCACTGTGATCATTTCTAATAGAATTTGGTCTCAGTCTAGATAGTCTGACAACACATTGTCCCTTCTCCACACATGAAATCTATAAGTAGCCAGATTAATAGAGCTCTACTCTGTTTCCTGACAGCTTTGGTCCACACTGAGCTTTCCCTCATTTATTCATTCTTTCATTCATTAATTCAGCGACTATTTATTGAGTACCTACCATATACATCTTCTGATATAAATTTTTATTATCTGGATCATTCATTTGGCATTCGTTATATACTGCCTCTTTGGTTTACTTTTTATTACCCTCAACCAAATAGTTCTCTATTTAACAGAAGGTGCCACGTATGACACTCCCATAGAGCTATAACAAAAGTAGATGCTCAAGAAATGTGTACTGGCTGGTTGGAATTCTGGAAGCAAAAGCCAGATTGTAGTAGACCATAAATGGGAGACATAGATAGGAAAAAAGCAACAGATGCAGAAGGTACTTTCAAGGGGTCCAACAGCCTTGTGATTAATATTAATCTGCTTCATTGGTTATTTTTAAATGTGTATAAAGCCATTTAGAAAAATATAAGCCACATGGTGGCCTTTGGTCTTGGGGGTCAAGTGTCTCATGACTATCTTTAGGACTTAGTCTCAGGACATAAAACTAATTTGGTAAGGTTATCTATGTTGAGGGGGGAGGGGCTGCCAGGAAGGTACAACTTGAAGTCCCAGCATTCCTTGTAAGGTCTTGTGATCTCATAAATAACAGCTCTGCCACAGTGGTGCTTAAAAGACTTTCTGTAACTTGTGGCAGGCACCTCCACATGGCAGCCCTGTGTTGTTCCTTGAAATGAGATGAACCAGTGGTTCAAACCCAGACACCGACACAGGGAATATCATTCTCATTCCTAGGGCTAGATATATTTTACACATGCATCTTCATTTGATTCTCAAAACAGTCCTATGAAACTAGTTTATTAGTCCTACTTTACAGATCAGGCAACAGCTCAGAGAAGTTCAATTTAGAGCATTCACAGAGCTCAGGAGTGGCAGGGCAGGAATTCAAGTGCAGGAATGTCTGACTTCAAAGCCATGCTCATTCTCTCTCTTTCATCGGAAATGTAGCCCATTGTGGGTTTTTTGTTTTGTTTTTAAAAGGATGTTTAAAAAAAAAGTTAACCAATAAAAAGCATATCATTATTTTAGAGCAAACTGCCCACATACTTTGGTACCATTTTCACTAATCTTGAACTTGAAAATTCTCTTAAACTGACTCCTAGCTTGAAGTCAGAAACACTTCTCTGAGGTATGTCCCAATCCTCCAATCCTCTGGGCTACCACTTGCTCCCAGATTGCTACATCACCGGGCAAGCTGGTAACTGCCTGTGTTATCTAACGATAATCACAAAGAAGGTGCTTTCAATCGTGTTGTCAGCACACTGTTTTCCTTATAATCTCTAGAAAGAGATAAGTGAATTGCAGAGGCCACGGGCCTGAATTCAGATCCCAGCTCCTCTACCTTCCAGCAATTTTGACCTTGGACAGACACATATTATGTGCCAGTCACTGTGCTATGTATTTTATAAATATTATTTAATTTAAATACTTTTCATGCTTGCTCTCCAGTTGTTGACAAGACCTCTGAAACACATTATTAAGTTTATTTTAAAAAGCGTTGGTGGGAACAGTGGACGTACTGTATGTGATAAAGAGGAAGAGAAAATAAGACTCACTTTATATGTGTAAAGAAACTATTAACAGTAGTTCCCGATGGGGGGACTAAGTAGGGATAGGTGGGGAAGCAGGGGTGGAAGGGAGAATTTAACTGTATAACTTTTTATACTTTGGGGATTTTGAACCATGTGGTTATATTACCTATTCAAAAATCTAAATGTATACTTCAAAAGAGCAGAACTTCACATGCTGCAATGACAGATACTGTGGTTAGAAAAAAATGGGTTTTCGAGTCAGACAAATCTTGGGTTCATATCCCAGCTCTGCCCCTTACTTGCTTCAGGTTTTGGGCAAGTTACTTCCTCATCTGTAAAATAGTGATAAACACCCATGCACCTTTTCAGGGCTGTTGGGAGAACTATGTGAGATGATGGATGAGAAAATGAAAATATAAACCATTGTGCCTAGCACACTGTAGCTACTCCATAATGACTAACACTTTTCCTACCACATTCTTAGTTTCAGTTTCCCATCAGCATTCTTTGGGTACATTTGTTCAGTCAATTTGAATCTCTGACTGTACTGTCACCTCTCCTGTGTTCATTTCATCCACATTAATGGCATGAAGGGCATTGTCACATGCCTCACTTACTTCCACATAATGTACCCACCCACCATTTCCCCTGTTCTATTAGTCTGGTGACCACACCCAAAAAGGAAATTAAGTTAGCCTTGAATTACTTGTTCTCGAGGTCACTTGGAGATCACATTTCTCTTCCTAACTGCTCATAGGCCTGTGTTTAATTCTAAAACATTTGCTA